CTCTCATCTAGATAATAATGTGAATTAATACGAAAAAAAGAAAAAGAAAAAGTGTGATCTCGGACAGTACAACACCTTGTCGTCGATTGCCTGATGTTTGTTTATTTTGTTCATATATCTATGGAGATATGTATGTAATGCTTTGTCGAAAGGGCATAGCATGTACGCGAGAACGAGGAGAAACCATCGCATCCTATATCCTATCCCAGTGGCCACAAGTACAAGGCTCTTTTTTTTTCTTTTTCTTTACACAGTTTTGTCACATTATCGTTGTTGCTTCTCGACCAAACGCATGCACTTTTTTTTTCTTACATACATACATACATACATTCATACTTCAGATGCGTACAGGCAAGCTCTTTGAGCAGAACAAAAAAAAAAGCTTTCTTTTTTTTTCTCTCGCATACACATACATACTGACGATGGAGAAAAAATAGCTGCTGGGCGCAAATGGCGAACAAGGTTGTCAATATTACGTAACGACAACGTGTGGGCGCATGTGTATGCACAAGCGAGCGTTCTGTTTTTATTATTGACATAATATGTTACGATACGAGATGCATACATGTTCTCCTATTTTCTTGTTTCTATAGTAAAATACATACATTGGTTTTCTTTCTCTATATAATAATTTACTATTAACCACCTACAAAGAACAGAAAAAACTTTATTATGGTGCTAAAAAATGAACATAGTTTTTAGAAAATCGTTCATTCTTTGTTACAAAAAGTAATCAATCAATCATAGAAGAAAAAAAAAAAGAAGAACTTTTTTTTATGAGTTAGTTTCATTATTTTTAGAAGAAAAAACAAATGTGTATTTCTTAAAATAAAACAAAAACTTGGACAAATGATGACTATTTTTAGTTAACTTAAACAAAAAAACATCAAAATATATGTCAATATACCTAGATCCATAAAAGTACAAACCTTAATAAGCAGTACACTTTGTCGTTTCTCTATATGTTGACGCTTACAAATAATCGATAATTTTTTTTTGGAAATTGAATAAATAAAAAAACAGTTATTCATCATTATATGATTAAAATAGGAAAAAAAAAGAAAACAATTACTCATTTTATGCGTAGTAGTAGTAGAATAAAGAATAATAATAATAATAATAGTAATAATAATAATAATATGGAAAATGTGTCATGTTTTCTTTCTTTTTTTTTTTTCTTGTCTTGCATTGAAAAAAAGAAAAGAAAGAAAAAAAATAATTATGATGAAAGATTCTACGGGTGGAAATATCATGAAAAATCTATTAGTAATTGAACATGTTTAAGTGCCCGTCGAAAGAAAGATTATTATTTTTCTGACAATACTTGTCATTCATAAAAAAAACTAATTTCGAGTACATAAACTCTTACCACTTTCTGCTTCTTATTATCATTACACAACAGGTGAACTATAAGTAAGAAAAAAAAAAAACGAGATCCAAGGTGAACAACAAAATAAAAAGAAAAAATCCTCTCTTTTCTCTTCCTCCTACTTGCCCTTTTTTTTGCGTGTCTTTGTATATTTTACCAATACATCAATCTTCAATTAGTATTACATCATCTTTAATGACTTTGCAATTGAATTTAATATACATAAAATTAATTTCGAATTAAAGAAAAAAATGAAAAAAAAAAGAAGAAGAAGAAGAAGAAAAGTCAATGTTATATGTTAGTAGTTTTGAGATTTTTATCGAATATCAATTCTTTTTCTTTATCAATATGTTAAGAATGTATGAACGATAAAAAAACGAAAAAAAAAAAAAAATAATGAAAAAGATAGAAACAAATTCTAACTTATGTTGTTTATGTTCATGTACACGTACATACATGCCTTCGTTGAGTCAACCTTCAAACTTGATTTAATGCTTTCTTTTTTCCTTTTTATCTTTCTCGTGTCCCGTCCCATTTGCAAGGTCATAGAATGCGAAGTAGATGATAAACATGTTCCAAGATAACTTGTTGATCTTACATAATAATAGATAGATGGAATACAAGATGCCTTTTTTTTTTCTTATGCTTATTCTGTTTCTATGTCTTCTTTTTTTTCTTTTTTCTTCTCATTTCTCTAGGAAAACATTCTTTATTCATCACGTATAAACACAGAACGAAGAATAACTGTAATCTTTTGTCTTCATCAACTATTCAATGTTATATATGTTTTTATCTATAAACAGAATTTGATCTAACTATATCATTATGTTGTGTATTTCCGTTTTTATACTTTACTGACTTATAATTTCAGTACAAGGACATTTTACAATACAAATAATAACGAGACATTGCTTGTTTTTTTAGACAAAAAAAAAGAAATTTCTATATTAATATAGTTTAATTTTTGATATCTGTAATGTGCAATATAATAATAAGATTATTAAATTTTTGTACATTTAAATCAACCGACTAAATCAATATATATTATATTATTGTGTAGCAAAAGGGAACATATTGTCAAAAAAAAAAAAAAAAAAAAATTAATAAAACAAGTCACTCTATCTTTCATCCAAAACATGTACGACCTTCATAAGTTGCCTTGAATTTCTTTACATAAGCAAGAAAAAAAAAACGAGAGAAAAAAGAACTTTGCTTTCGGTCAAGGGCGCTTCGATTCGTTGAATTTCTGGAATCTCATTGTTCTTCATCGTTTTTACAAGGTCAAACTCTCTTTAGACATATACATACATACATACATACATGCATACATACATACAACATAACGACGAGTAATCAACCTTCAATGTAGCAGTAACATCAACAACAACGACGACAGCGAGGCTTTCAAGGTTCGATTTTACTGTTGCTGCTATCAATTGTTGACGCTGGTATTTTCTTCTTTTCTTGCTTTTTCATCATAGCGTAATGATGTGTGTTCAAGAACAAATATTGCTTCTTGTGTTCTTCCTTGCTTGTCTCTTCCTTTTTTCTTCTTTCTTTTCTTTCTCGAAAATACACAAATGTTATCAACATCGAACGATGACAATGAATGTGTATGACGCAATCGAATATTCTCTCTCTTTATATGATTAAATCAATGAACGAATATATGTAAAGAAAAAAGACAAGAACTTATCGATCGAGTGTGTGACTCAAGGTTACACTAAATATGCCTATGTGTATTCAATAACCTTGAGAATCTGTTCGAACTGGTCGTTGTCACATTAAATAGGATATTACTTCCATTTTCAAAACAGTATATTCTTTTTTTCATTCGTTTTTTTATTTTATTTGATAATTTCACCTCGATTACATACGCAATTTTTTTGCTTTTTCTCTCATACAAGCTGCTGTTCAAACACACATCTACGCATATATATATATATATATACAAATGAAGAAATAACCCTGAACGGACCTTGAACTATAATGTTGATGAAAGGAACACGATATAACAAGAGTATGAGAGTAAAGCATAGAGGGAGAGAGAAGAAAAAAGGTGCTTTAGATATATATATTCTTATTCTCGAATCAGTGCAAAAACAGAATAAAGAAGCCTGCTGTAAACAAGAAAAGAAATTAGAACTTGTGCAAATGTAATAATAATAATAATAATAATGAAAAAAAAAAAGAAAAGAATTCCTGCAATCGATTACATCATTGAATATATATATATAATCAGAAACGGAAAGAGGAGGTCAATCGTACAACTTACCTAACTTTCAATCATTCTTTTTTTTTTTTATTGATATTTCTACGAGCATAAAATTCATGAATAAAAAATATAGAATGGTCATAAAATGATAGAATCATTTGCAATTTTCTTCATCACATGACTATTATTATATAAGATCGTAAAATAGAAAAAAAAACATTGAACAATAGTAAATAATTGAGTTTTATTCAAGGGTACTTCCTCATATAACATGGATATATATATATATATATATGCAAAGATATGTTGACCGAGAATGATTACTAGTACGATTAATGTATAAGAGGAAATCAAATGATTTTTTAAGTATATCTAAATACATGATTTAAACTTTTTGACATATTAGTTTTTGATAAGGTAAAAGAAAAGTTCAGGAAGTTTTGTTATATTTGATCTATAAAAATATTTATTTTATATTTAATAATTATATAGAATTTTAATGAAAATTTTTATATTTATTTTTTGAAAATTTAATAGATTATTTGATGAAATATCAAGAAAAATTGATAGACTTTGTCAAAAAATAATAATGACTTACAAATTTTCAATTATCTAAAATTATTATTTTAGTAAATTAAAATGTTGAAAAATTGTATTCAAGCAAAAAAGAAGATATTCTATGAATTTTCTTACAGTCAATGTTCGAAGTAGGTGTTGTAATATTTCAATATAAAATTTTAATCTTCTAATTTAGTTATTAATCTACTCAAATATATTTCTTAGGTTAAAGAGATTTTAAAATAGCGCATAGTTTTAATGTAATATCACCAGAGTGTGTTGAGAACTGCAAAGTTTTATTCATTCTATTAAATAAAATATTCTCATCAAGAAAAAGGAACATGTATATTTTATTCATGTAATAATAGTTAAGTAATAAAAATATTACAACAAAGTACTTCCTACCGAAATATCCATTAGTTCAAATAGAATAATATTAACATTATTAAGTTTAACGTGATTAAAGGTATTATGTTTTTATTTACCCTATGCTCGTACAATTATTTGACAAAAAAAAAAACAACATCCGGGAAATCAGTTGAATACTTATTGTTAAAATGTCAAATATCATGGGTATTCAAAAGATTAATAGTTCATGAATAAATATTCTAAATTTGAGAACATTTTTTATGATAAAGTGTAATTTTGAATGTCATTATGTTAATTATGATAGATTTATTTTTGATAATAAATTCTAAAATCAATTTGAATTTATTAAAAATCTTGATATAAATTAATTAATCTAGTTTTTTATTATTAATTTATTTCTTGATAAAAAGTTTTATAATACTTATTAACCATCTCTTCAATTTGATCTGTTGTTTCAGATCCATTACATAAATCATTTAAACATTCGAACTAAATATGATGACTACATATTATTTTATTGTCCATTGGAATTTTTCTAGCTGCTATTTCAACATAAGGTGAATCTTTCTTAAATTCACAGTCAAGCATATCGAATGTTCTAACTGTTTGACCTTTTACATTAATGACTTGACTTTGTTTATTAGAGCATCTTCCATTACATTTACTAGGTTCATCTTTTAACCATTTATGACAAGTTAATGAAGATGACTTACGAGTAACAAGAATATCCATTAAAGTATTTTGAAGTTTTATATAATCTTTCTTGATTAATTTTGGTAGAGTTTGAAGTAAAAATATTTATTCACATCGATTACCTAATGTACATGAATAAAGTAAATTCTTTATGAATTTGTGTTATTATTAATCATTGTTATTTCTCGTACATAATCATATTTATCATTTTGTTTTGATCAATTGATCGTTTTTCATCATAAATATGTTGATCCAAATGTAACTTGAAAATTTTTTTTTAGTATAATCAATTTTAAATTTAACTTGACAAAGAATATCTTGTTCAGTTTGATTGGATTTATCAGAAAAAGAATCAATGGGAGAATCGAACAATTGTAAAAAATAATAACTACTTCAACAATAAGGATAACCATTTGTTTGAACGATTATACCGAATATTAAGCAAAGAATTGTAATGAAAACCCTAGTCATTATTTTGTTTCAAGAGAAACAAGTCATTTTTATTTTTTTTTCTATTTTGCATATATATGTGTGATTTTCTTTTAAACAACTATTTGGATGAAAAATTTCATTCATTAAGTAAAGTTATTGGTTAAAAAGAAAAAAATAAAATATGTTTTTTCTAATAAAATATAAGATTTACAATATTATGTCCATATGAAATTTGACAACATTTTTCTCATAAACGATAAGAAAAGAAAATCCACGATTTTTTACATATTAAATTAAAAGATATCATAAACTATCTGATCAACATTTACTGAGTATCTTGTCTTATGTATTCAGAAATATATATATATTTATAAGTGACACGATCAATATAATACACTTATACATTTCCAGATGACTTCTCAATTGTTCGATTTGTAAGATTAAACTGTTGAGAAGTAGTTCAATTCTAACCAAATAAACTGGAAAAGAACATTTAGATAAAAACATTAAATATAATACGTAGCTTGGTGATTCTAAGGAAACTACACTTTGATATACGTACCACTCTCAATTGATAAAGTTTTCTTAGAAAATCTCTTGTTTCTTTTTCTATTTATTAATCTGAAGTTCATTTTGAGTTTAACTCAACCTTTTTCTAAGAAAGACATGACATGAAAGAAATCCATGACGTCGTCTATAAAGCTACCTTTCACTTTTCTCAGAAAAGATCAAGTTAAATCCATAAACAAACTTTCAGATCAATAAGTAGAAAAAACAAGAGAATTTAAAGATTATTGAATGATGACCATCATGAAGAACATGAAATCTATACACTAAAATTTATCAGAGATAAGTGAAATCGGTAACGGTATAGGTTTTTACAATAACTCCACTAACGAGTAATTGGAAAATTTTTAGACAAGATGTCGGTTCATTTTTGATCCAATAGAAAGTGTTTCCGACGAGTTAAAAGTGATGATTTACGAGCCGAGTTTTGTATTTTTTTTTCGAATATGAACCTCGGATTTTTTCTGTCGATTTTTGTTTAAGAGTAGTGAGAGACTTTTTGAAAGACCTGAAAAGTTATTTTTAATGGTGATCCAACAAGTTTTTGTTTATCCTACAAGGATCTTTTCGAACATGGTAAAAATTATCGGAGTCGATCGTTTTGTACAGTGAACACTTCTCTACAAAAGATGATATTAAACTAAACTGTAGTTTTTACTCAAGTACGACTACAAGCATTTTTCAAGAGCTCCTTCCAACATGAAACAGTTTTTCATCAAAAAAGTCGATTTTTCAAAAATAAGTATTTGTACAAAACGAAAATTGATGTTCTTTGTCGAAAGACAAAAAAAACTGCAAATAGTTCATTTGGTAGAATAGCTTTCGATCTACAAGCTAATATATAAATAAAGATCACAACTTTTAGTTTCAGATCGGAACAGTGAAAATATAAAAATGTGCAGAAAAATTTTCCTATTCAAACTAATTCTTTTTGAACTTTTCAAAGATTATTTCATTACTCTCGAATAAAAACTAAGATAACATTTCTAAGCCTATATCCGAAAAAAGTATTCTAATTCACAGCTTTCGACTCGTCGAAAATACTTTCTAGTGGTTTAAAAGTAACTCGTGTAGTTGAAATTTTTCACATCTTAGATCAATTCATTTATAGATAAGAAAGAATATATATTTACGATTGACATAGAACATACGATTAAAATTAATTCATATTTTAAAACATCGTTTATATATCATTTATATTTCAAGACTTTGTCAAACTGGTAAATTCTCTGAAAAATTCTTTACCTTAAATAATTAATTATCCAAGCTGGATTTTCATTAGATGTAATCAATGTATAGTAGTAAACAAAAGTCTCTGTCTCCTAGTAGATCTCAGACATTATAGATGCTAGACGACTGAAAATTGGTGTGTACATACTTTGTCAAGAGTGTAGGTAAGACATACAATTAGGTTTTGATTTCTCAAGTACAGAGAGAATTATAATGAGGAACAATGGATGGCACCTTCGAATTTCATCCCGGTGGAAAATATGAGCTTTCGAGGTCAAATAATAGCTCATTATGTAGTATTGTATCCCAACTATCCACATAACTAATGTCATTGAAGTTCATCAACTTTCTCTAGCATTGTGACCACTTTACTGTAACTATTGATGTGGAGAAAATCGTCTGGTGTCCTTTTGAAACGAGAATACAGTAGTAATTCAGTGAACGAAGCTCAAACTCTTAGAAAATTTACTTCTACAATTGGACATTAGCACCTACAAGTTTCATAAACAAACTGCATATATTGATGGAAAACATCATAGCTATGATCATCGTGTTGATGAAACACAGAATCCAGAAATATCCATAGATGTCAACATTCAAACAAATGAGTTTATCGTTTAGGTAAAGAACGATCATAAAATGAATACCAGTTCCACTTAAAAACACCACGAATTAATCATATATTTGGTGAAAACTAGCGCAAAATTGAGTAGACAGTCCTCTTCAGATTAAAAAGCTTGATGCAAAAATAAATATCATTCAATCATAGTTATCTTTAAACTTAACCCGTTGAAACAGAACTGTGTCTCTGGCCTACATTCTTGACAAAGTATATGCACAAATATTTTCAAGCCTTCGACATTTAAATAAATTACAGAACTAAATAATCAACATCAAAATCATGTAAATAATATCTTGCTGGAATTATATTTATTTAATAATAAATTCTAAGCAATTTGAAAACCTAATTTTGTTCTATATATTGTTTTAGCCTACATGTATGAATAAAAAAAAAAAAACAAATTTTTTTTGCCAAGATGACTGACAATATGAAATACGCATATAAAGATCAACAACATAGAGATGACCAATTCAAAAATAAATAAAATGCAAGATTAATAATAAGAAAAAAGAAACCAACTCGTATTAATATTCATACGAAATCAAAAAGTAACAGAATTCATAATCTGTTTTATAGGCATATAAATGTTGTATTGAGTTATGCCGTAGTACCAGTTAAAGCAAATACTAAAACAGTACGACATGGTGTATAGACTTTAAATGAATATGGTCTTTCATCCCATTTATAATCTTCAGCTGCAAACACTTGTCCCTCATCAACGCGACCAAGGCCATCAAATGCGGATGAATCTGAATTAAGTACAATTTTATATCTAAGTAATAGAAAAAAAGAATCGAATATAATTTATCATATAGAAAAAAAAGCGTTTATATTTAAAATATATGTCGATTTTATTACCAAAGAACGAAATATATGTAGATTTATAGAGGCAGACTTCCTCTATCTAAAGAAATATATTATAAAATTCTGTTGCGTATCGTAGGAGAACATTGAATTGAAAAAACATCTATGGAAGAAGGTCCTCCTATACTACCATCTCAATCATGTAGAATCAAGTCAGAACGTAATCTAATGATGTTTATACCGTTCGACACACTATACTATCTATTTGCATAAAATATATCACCCTTCTTCATATTCGAGTTATACGGTGACTTATAAAAGTTTGAAAACTAAATTTTACATATTTTTCATAATGCTACATGAAATAGTATTTATAGTGTCGTGTTTGACAATCTGAAATAGATTTCAAACACACAGAATTGTAGAGATTTAACTATTCTTCCCGAATAATCGATGAAAAGTCAACAAATGAAATCTTTACAGATGATAAAAACAAAGGTCGAAAATTAGAGTCGGTCGGGTTCAAAATTTTCAGACCAGAATCCGACTCGAGAAATTCTACTGAGAATAACTTAATAGTATCACTCATTGACTGTATCTTCTAATTTTTGACATTCTCTTTTTGTCCCGTTCTAAAACTTTCTGTGTATGATTGTTAAATTTTTTATACAATTTCTTCAAGAAATGGCAATAACATGAGTAATTTTACATTGTCATGTCTCAGGAAAGTTTTAATAAATCAAATAGCACAGGATCATTTTAAAGAGCAAAGAAATTTCGACAATTCTGTATATTTAAAATAATCATATATCAAATTGTCAAACATGAAACTGTAAATACTATTTCAAGTAGCGTTATGAAAAATATGTAAAATTTGTTTTTTTTTAAACTTTTGTGTGTCAATCGATACAAACATCATTAGATTAGATTCTGGTATAGGAAGACTTTCTTCTATAGTTTTTTCAATTCGATTTTTTCGTACAATATGCAATGGAATTTCATTTGTTAGATAGAAAAAGTCATCTTCTACAAACCTATACATATTCCGTTCTCTGATCAAAATCTTATAATCACAATTAGAATTCTTACTTTCCAGGTTTACCACATCCAACACGATAATCAGCAAAACTTTTCGTTGGATGAAAATTAAATACGAATAATAAACCTTGATTACCACGTTCAAATACAACTAACTTATCATCTTCATGACGTCGACTTATAAACTAAATATATCAATAGATATATCTATATATACATATATACTTTATTTATTGAAATTTCTTACTGTATTTTTATCTGAAAGCCATTTATATGCTTCTTCACAATTATTCATAGCTTGATCCCATGCATTAAGATATTTATATCTTAATTTTTCATCTTCAGGTAAATAAAAAAGTCGGCGAGCATAATGAAAACTATTATTATTGCCCTGCCGAGGAAAATCAAGCCATTCCGGATGACCAAATTCATTACCTTCAAAATTAAGCCAACCTTCTCCACCCAATGCATATGTTAGTAAACGAATCATCTTATGTAAAGCTAAACCACGTTCAACAGTTGGCGTACGATCAGAAAAAACTTCCATATGTGAATAAATTTGTGAATCAAATAACCAATGTGCTATTGTTTTATCACCAACAAGTGCTTGATCATGACTTTCAGAATATGCAATATTTTTTTCTGACCATCGACGATTAATTAATGTCCATGATAAATCACCAACATTCCAATCTTCATCTTTCTTCTCTCTTAATAACTATAAAGCAAAACAAAAAATCCAAGAACAACAAAATCATTTTTGTTTTCCTTATAATGTAATACATACTTTTATCCAAACATCAGGAATAGCCATAGCTAAACGATAATCAAATCCAGCACCACCTTCAGCTATTGGACGGCATAATGTTGGCATTCCTGAAACTTCCTAGAATAAATAAATCATTAGATATTTAAAAAAAATAAAGTTTTTTGTTTTTTTTTTGTTTTTTATATACTTCGGCAATTGTAATCGATTCAGGAAATAATGTTTGTGAAACAGTATTAGCTAATTGAAGATAATTAAATGAATCAGTATCAGTTGCTAAACCAAAATATTCATTATATGAACCAGAAAAACCGTGTGCTAAAAAATAAAGAATTAAAATATATATAAATAAAATTATATCGAATTTACCAATGCCATGTGAATGATAAAGCATTGATGAAACACCATCATATCGAAAACCATCAAATTTAAATTCTTCTAACCAATATCGAATATTTGAAAGAAGAAATCTCATTACTTCACGTCTAAATAATAATAAAAATATCTTATCAAATTTTATTCAAGGTCAATAATCTAAATAAAATTATATCGACAATTGCCAGTATCTCGTCAGATTGTGTTAGAACCTCAAAAGTATATTTCTTATTCTTTTCGCATCGGACAAACATTATAAGTACTATCATTAATGAAAAATATCATAGAGATGTAAATTTCTTGTCATAGACAAAGAAAATAAAGATTAATATTAAAACTATTTGAATAATAGCTGTGCTAGCACAACTTCCATAGAATACAAATGTGTGACACGATGTATTTGCTATTGTGGATCACAGGGATATGGTTTTATTCTATCTATTTTGAGGATATATTTTTTCACCATCCTTTTACTTACTTAATCCTCTAGCACCGGTAATAGTCTGTGAAGAAGTTCAAATTTTTAGTATCTGTCCGTTGCATCGAAATCTTCTTCATTAACCTGTTTCATCGACAGAATTTTACTACTGAAATTTTGCCTTGGAGAGAAAGAAATAGGGTATGGGTGTTAGACCTCTATACTTCTACATCTGCACAAGGACATCTGGATTGAAACGCTGGTACCAGCGGCTCAATGCAAATATTATCACCTCTAATGCAAAGTTCTCAGATATATTCAAATATAGTAACAGATGTACATTATAACATATGAATAATTCCTACGAGAGACCGAAATTTCGATCCAGTTCGAAATTCACGTGACTTTTCGGTTCATACTAAAATTGAACTCATTGACCCCTATAAAAAAGGGTGTGGGTTTAAGTCTCTTTTTTAAACCTCAGCCACACCCACACTCGCACTACATCATTTTACTTAGCACTGTGTCATCCTACTCAGCACTACGAACCGTAGGAACTAATCAAAGAAATTAGGCTTTTCATAAGGGTCAATAAGTTTATTTTAAGCATGAACCGAAATACCTAGAATCCATTTCTACGAGATGATCATTTAAATGTTTCTCGATATCTAACTTTGTCAATTTAACAAAAAAAACATAGTAATTCATTTAAACAAAACTTACTCCATATAATTAAAACATCGACTATCCCAAAGATCATGATAACCACGTGCGTTATCATGAAAAAAACAACCTCGTGTACCATCAAACATATTAAGACCATCGAATGTATTTTTACAAGCATGACTATGAACAATATCTAATAAAACTGTTAAACCATAACCATGTGCATCATCAATTAATGCTTTTAATTCTTCAGGTGTACCATATCGACTAGAATTAATATTGAAAAAAAAAACAACATACAAATAAATTAATTTATTAACAAAAAATTTTTCTTTTAATAAAACAAACCTTGATGCAGCAAAAAAACTTGTTACTTGATAACCAAAACTAGCATAATAAGCATGTTCCATAATAGCCATTAATTGAACTGTATTATAACCTTGTTTTACGATTCGTGGAAGAACATTAAGACGAAAATTTTCATATGTTGCAACTTCACCTTTCCATGAACTAATTCCAACATGTGCTTCATAAATTTTTAAACGATCTTTTTTTTTTGGTTGAGGATTTTTAAATTTATAAATTTGATTATCTGGTGGATTATAAAAAACACCATGATATACATTAGAATTTTCAGCTCGTTGTACATAACGTGACCATGGACAAAGACGATCAAGTAATTCACCATAAGGTGTTTCGATAAGTAACTAAAAAAGAAAATTAATATACAAAAAAAACAAAGGTTTTTGTTTTTTTTAAATTTTACTTTAATAGCTTGTCCATGTTTAATAGCTGGTGATCCATCAGATAAAGGTGGGATTGTTATTGTCCATATACCCCATTCATTACGTTGTAATGAATATTGTTTTTCGGCCCAATTATCTATATAAAAAAAAAACAAAAAAGATTTTTTTTTTGTAAAAACAAAAAAAGAGTTTTTTTAATTTTGAATACGAACTAAAATCTCCACGAACATACACAGCACGTGCACCAGGTACCCATTCTTTAATTTTAATTTCATTTGTACAACAATCAACATGCATACCATAATGTGTATAAGCAGATGTAAATACATCAAGACCATTTTCTTCAGTATTTAATGTATTAAGAATTTTCCTATATTCTTTATAACTGAAAGAAGAAGGGAAAAAAAAAGTTGAAATTAAATATTTTCTTTTTTTTTATTATTATGATTAGAATTTTTACCGTCGTTTAATTTCATCTTGATATGGCTTAATGTATGGATCAAGTTCCAATAAATTATCTAATTGAGGAGGCGCAACCTCGTCGACTTTATCTGTTGTTGACATTGTATTCTGAAAAAAAAAAATTTAAATATACAAATAAATTTCAATATGATCAAGCTTTGTATACTAAAGCTATATACTAAAAATTCTCATTAGGTTTTCTTTTTTACGATTAATTCTCTGTTGTCTTTTTTGGTTTTTTTTATTTATTTATGATTATTCTAGCATGCGTCTACAAGCTGATCGGTCTATTTATAAGCACTTTTTTTTGTCTGTTGTTGGTAAAGGTTCTTATAGTGCATATTATTCTAATGGTTTATACACGAGAAAAATAAGAACGGAAAAATATTTGTTGCTTGCATTGGTTGTATTTTTTGCGGATGAAGTAATACGAGACGAGAGAGGTCGACTTCTTCTGATTCTTGTTTTATATAATTTTCTTTGCGTTTTCTTTCGAGAAAGAATAAATCTGTATGAAATATTGTATAATATGAAAGGAAATAACGAGTTACTCAGAATAAATGGTCGTGTTTTGCATTTTATTTTTTCATTATCTAATACGTTTCATTAAAAAACAAAATATACCACAAGATTCAGCCTGAAAAGCTTTACAATTTACATAAGATCGCTTATTTTATAGTTGCACTTTTTGTTTTCAAAATGGACAAAATTTTCAGCGATCAAATTTCAACCGTGCGAAAATTAGTCGTACAGAATTTTGCTTTTTTTTTGAAAACAATTACAATAAGCTTTTCTGTATAAATTATAGAGCTTTTTACGCTATATCTTGTGGTATATTTTGTTTCTTTTCTTACGAAGATATATTAGGTGATAAAAAGATGAAATAAGAAAAAAAACAAAGAATTTCTCGTTGGTGTAGTAAAAAATTGATTTTTTCGTAACACCGAAAATTGGTCATACAGAATTTCGCTTATTTTGAAAAGAAAAGATGCAAATATAAAAGAAATTATTCTTCGTAGATTGTAGAGCTTCTCACACTGCGTCTTCTGATATATTTTGTTTTTCTTTTGTGAAAGCATATCAAGGGATGAATAGATGAAATAACAAAAAATGAATTCGTTCTGTATACAAAAAATTTATCTTTTTCACACGATCGAAATTTGGTCGCTCAAAATTTTGCTCACTTTGAAAACAAAAAATGCAACTATAAAATAAACAATCATATGTAAATTGTAGAGCTTTTCACGCTGCATCATGTGGTATGTTTTTTTTAATATAATGTATTTCAAGGTAAAAAAATGAAACGCAAAGTGTGGCCATTTATTCTGAGTCATCCAATACTTTTTATATACCATTGAAATTCATTGTATTTATTCTATATTATGAAACGAAACATCTGTTTATTGATAAATATTAATGCAGAAATTACATTTCATTTTTTTTCTTAATGTAAGACTTTTGAAAATTAAATTTATTTTAATTCGTATGGCCTTTTTTTCCAAAGAAAAATATAAATTGCCTTCTTTTTTTATTTTTGCGTCACTTCATCGGAACATATGTTGAAGATGAATTAGTTGGTTAATTTTAAAATCATGACATATAATAATATGCTTCAATTCTTACTAAAGTGAAACAGTATTGCTGAGGATGTATAACTCTTTTTAAGTGCTTGTTAGACTATGATTTACTTAAAGAAAATGAGTTTTATGTGTTACTTTCATACATTGACGTATGTCTTTTTTTTTATTGGTTTCTTAATTTAAAAAAGTTTCAAATGTATTAAGACTGAAATAAAATCAATTAAGTTAGTTATTAGTCTTGAATACAACTAGTCTAAAAAATATTGGACTCTATCTGATAAAATATACATGTTTTTAATTGCCCAGAGAAATAAACAAAATTTGACATTTTCATTACAGAAAATTATAATCATTTTTCAAAAGAATTTCTTTGAATTAATCAAATATTTCATAATTTATTCATTTCATTATAGGGATAGGCCAATTCCTAGAGCATGATGTTAAAGAAGACATTTTTTTCCTTTATTAAAAAAGTAGTTTCTTTGGATTGTTTATATCCAAACCTGTAGTCGGAATTTATGAAATTCAAAGCAAAGGTTTCGGAATCGATCGAAAATTCGAACTTCTTTAGTTTTTCCGACCAATTCTAACTGGTTTTGAGATCTGCGTTTTGCACTAGACAAAAACTCAGAAGCACTAGGCATTCGATAATTCTCAATACTGGAAATATGCTAGACTCCGATTAGAGATTCAAAAAATTAGTTTATCTTTGTTTACAAAAACACATGCCAAGTATTGAGAATTACCGGCTTCCTAGCACTTCTAAAGTTTTGTCTAGCGCAAAACACAAGTCTCAAAATCAGTTGGAATTGATCGACAAAAATTAAAAAATGTGAATTATGAGCCGAGTCTGGCAGCTTCGTTTCGAATTTCACGAATTTCGACTACAGCTTCATATAGAGCAATCATGGTTGATTGTCATCTTTGACATCATGTTCTAGTAAATTGATGCATCTCTATTTTGTTAAGATCATATCCTAATAAATATATTATTGAATCTTTGAAATAAACATGATTCAGATACTATTCATTTTAATTTCACCAGTTATTCAGTTTTCAATAACGATATTTTACACACTTACAATTTAAATAAGATGATGAAATCTTTTTTTTCCATTACTTAAAGTAGATTTCCCGGCTAACGCACTCATTTCGTCTTCTAACATCATTTTTCTAATAAGTTCATAGAAATATTTGTATGTCAGGGATAAAATCGATTCGTACTTTTTGGGAACCAAATCAAATAGACTGAGTTTTTTCAAAAAGTTCAAACCGAGCCGATCCCATCTATATTCCGTGTAATGTGTCATATCATGCAAATTTATTAAAACTTAATTCTTTTTTTAAATTAACAAAATTCGCTGTGTATTAACCAAGGGGGAAAAAGCTGATTCTGCGGTGACAGAATCATTTGGAATCAAATAGAATCAATGGAGTCATTCGAAATCAATAGAGGCACTTGGAATCAGTTGGAGTCAATCGGAGTCACGGAAGAATCTGGGCGATTCCGTATCACCGCAACTGATTCCGAATGACTCCTACTGACTTCATTGACTCCGTTAACTCTCAATAACTCCACTGACTCCAAATGACTCTAAATGATTCCACTGACTCCAAGTGACTTCACTGACTCTGAATGACTCCAATGATTCCAACTCTCCGGAATTAGCTCTTTCCATGCTGATTCGAACCAGATTATCGTGCTGAACATGAATCTGGTAGTGAATTCTTATTTAGTGAGACAGAGTCCAAATTAGATAAGGACAACACAATTTATTGTGAAGTACTGGAATCACGTAGAGTCAATGGAATCAATTAAAGTCAGTCAGAATCAACGGAGTCATGAAATCACAGAGTCAGCTTTTTCCTCCTTGGTATGAACACATAAAATTCAACGGTTATTAAATTAATAAAAGCAAAGAAAATAAATATGTCGAACAAATGTCATAATGATATGAAGAGAAGATCTTGTGTTATTTGATTACTGATGATTAGTATTTGGTTTTGATTTGTAATATTCAATGAACTAACAGATGATATACCGTAACTTCATAGTTAATTAAAAATAGTTTATTATCGATTAGTAAATTTAATTCACTTTTTTTTTGAAATGTTTGTTCACTATCCTTATGAAACATTTTCCAATACATCTTGATAATTTGAGATTTTCGCACTACAATAATTTGAAGTGTTATTGCATTTTGTTTAAAAATGTATTTAAGTAGGACTCATTAAAAGTATTTTCATTTCAAGAATTGAAATTTGCTCTGTTCCAATTTTTATCATATATAAATATTCATGATCGAGATTAGTTCTATTTGATGTTTTTTTTCTAACATATTATTTTCCGTCATGATAGCAAATTCCATGTTTCTCTCTTATCATTTTACTTTTACTTCATTGTGAACAATATCATGATTACAATAAATGTTGCACAAAATGTTCTGAAAAATGAAACAAGTCAACAATGCGTGAACCAATTTTATAGATGACAATGTTCTTTTTTTTCTTCTAATTCAAAAAAAGAATATTTATTCTATTGAAAAGAAAAAAAACACTTTCAAACTTAAAATATTTTTCATCAAGCAGATGTTTTATATTTTCCTATTCGTTGTCGTGTGAGTGTTTTCTCTTATTTTTTTTCTTTTTTTTTTGTATTTTTATTTAACTAATGGTTGATTGTTAAATGAGTAACTTTTAGTAGAAGTTTAGCTGTTGTTTTTTTCTTGTTGCATGCTATTATCTTATTCTTTACGACATGATTATTTTAAGAAAACAAATGTGGAGATTTATTTTGGAATTATTATCGTATTCAAGTTTTGTTTGTGTTCTTTATGTGATCAGTTATTCAAATCATAGTTATGATGAATATCATCAAACCCAACATTTAAGACGATTATTTTTGAATACACACAATAGTACTCATAATTATTCACAAGTAAGAATTTATTATATTGTCTTTTTTGAATTTGATAAAGAAAGAATTACATATATATATATATATTTGTTTTAATTATATAATTAAAGATCATAACGATTAACGACTATTGGAGATGGCTAAAAGAAAGTTTTATAGTGAATATTGTCGTTGGAGATTGGTACAATGGACAATCAACTAATGATTCTAATGGATATCTTAATGATAAAACAACTCGATTAATTGGATGGGCAACAATGAGACAATTACGAATAAAACCAGGTTAGATTTTTGATTCCATTTATTTCTCTTACAAAAATGCAATTATTAAAATCACTAGTAGCTTTTCCCGTAAAAGGTGTCACAACAGCAAGTTCAACTCATTTTATGCTATACTCAAATTGAATAGTTATAAGACAAGTTTGATATAATTATCAATTGATTTGTGTTAATATACAAGACGTACTAGAAAAACCCTTTCATCCAACTTTCCTAAAAGTTGTAATCAAGTGCATGTATTTCATTATAATACATGGACATATTTATAATTGTGAGCAAAATTTGAGCCTTTTAACCGTGATGCATTCTTGTATTTTGTGGAATTC